AACAGCCAGATGTCCAATAACAATAGAATGATTGAGAGATTGTGATACATTCACACAATGGAATACTATGCAGCATGCAGGAGCAACAATTTTTAAATTACTACATAACTTGAGAGGAATTGGAGAGCATTATTCTGAGTAAACTAACTCATCTCATAAGGACAAATACTGCAGAAGACCATTATTGTAGAAATAGAAAGATAACTAGTAAAAGTGTATGAGGATCCAAGGGGAGGATGGTGGGAACAGGGAAGTGAGGATGGGAAGGGAGGAAATCATAGGGTCACACAATTTGGTGGGTGAGGGAGGAGGGGTAAAGGAAATGGGAAAGACCCAGCAGAGATAAGGAAAGACAGGGTAATGGTGGGCATAGTTCAATGGTGATTAATTTTATGAAACATAATGAGAGGAACCCATAATGAATGGAAATGAATGAATATGAATATGGAATATGACTTAAAGATAGTGTGAAACAAAATATATATGAACTTTATAAGCTAATCAATATGAAATAAAAAGTAAACAACAACAAAAAGAAACCCAGGGCCTGGATCAGGCACACCTTAGTCTTCAAACTGACATCCCTGTTCTTCAGTAATTTGGAGAGGTCCTGACAGCAGACTTTCCCAATGCAATACATCGCCTCACTGCTGGTCCCAGGAGTTTGGGTCATGGATCCAAGTAGGATGAAACTGTTGACAATTTCAATCTTTTCTCCATCTGTCATGATATTGTTTATGTATTTTTAAAAAACAAGCATATTCTGTGCAATGTTTTGGACACACTTACACTGTACACATAGTTTACTCCTCATTTAGCAACACATTTAAGTTCCAAAGACCATGTCATCATGCAAAAATCAGCAGTGGGTGAAAACGGTGAATGTCCACATCATTATATCACTGCCAATTTATATCATCACCAACTGTCAAACTGCATTATTATGTAGTTGTCAAACTGCTGAGAATTTTAGCCCAGCCAGCTGGCACATAACCTTAACCAGTGGTATTCTCACCTTACACCTTGGCATTCTTTACAGCCAGATGAAGGATAGTGGAAAATTTTCCCTACTGTTATAAATACAAAATGTTAAAAAATTAGGACTGTATGTATAAAAATATTGCAAGGGACATACTGATATGAAAAAAATTATTTGATGGACATTTTCTGTTTGCTTGGACATTTTCTAAATTTTACAATCTTACCTCAAATAAATGTTGCCTGAGAGCTTCTTGACCTGCTATGCTCCAAGGTTACCTGAGCCAAGCCCAAGAATTGGACCGTAATGTGATCATTAACCCTGCCCTAAGTAGTCAGACAACTTCAGGTCTGACTCATCTAATCTGGTTTCATAAGTAGCCACTCCCAAGGATCTAATACTTCTGAAAGCCTACTCTTCCAAAAGTACCTCATTGGTGCCTCCCTTTAATGAGACCACAACAGAGCTCCTGAGCTTCCTCAGTCTCCTCCCTCTACAGTCTTCCCTTTCCCAATTAATTGTGTCTGTTCTTCCAATTGCTCTAGCTGGAAAACTTTGAAGTCACTCTTGACTCCTCTCACCCCTGATATCTGTTCTATCAATCAGTTCTGGTGCTTTGTCTTTAACATATAACCAGAATATGAGAACTTTACTGCTACCATTGTTGATCTAACCCTGCCCTATCGTACCAGTGTCACAGCATTTCCTTGCTTTAGCCCTTGCACGCAATTGTCTTCATAAAATAGACGGTGGATGGTTTTGGGTTTTGTTTAACACCCATGTCACTCTGCTCAAAATATTTCAAGTTCTTATCTCTTTCAGAAATTAACAATCACCCTAATGTTTTATACATTCACCCTTCTTTTTTTTTAAATTAAGATCTTAATGAAAATTTATAGAAAACTTGGATTTCCATTTATTCATTGTTGTATATTTTCCTCCCTGCTCCCTAGTTCACTTTTCTCTTTGAAAAAAATTCTTTCATTGTTGTACAATCCTCCTCCCCACCCCAGTCCACTTTACTATGCAGCTCTTATTCTGGACAGTTGTCATGTAAATAATACTTAATCATATTCTTTTTATACAGTTCTCTCCCTCATCTGTTTCAGTCCAGAGTACATTATTTATTCCCTCTTTTCTTAGTTTCTCCCCAACCTCCATGTCAGCCCTGTTTTATAACAGTGGCATTATGTGGTATTTGTCCTTTTTTGACTGAGATCTTTCACTCAGCATAATGTTCTCCAGGGTCACCCATTTTGTATAATATTTCATGAGTTCCTTGTTTTACAGACCTGCATAGTATTCCATTGTGTGAATATACCACATCTTCTCTATCCATTCATTTATTGATGGGCACTTGGATTGTTTCCATCTCTTTACTATTGTGAACAACCCAGCAATAATCATGGGTGAGCATATATCTGCTTGGGTGGTGATTCTGATTTCTTTAGGATATATTCCCAGAAGTGGAACTGCTGAGTCAAACAGTATTTCTATTTCCAACTTTTTGAGAAAGCGCCACACTGCCTTCCAGAGTGTTTTTACCATTTTACACTCCCACCAACAGTGAATGAGGGTGCCAGCTTCTCCACCACCTCGCCAGCATTTGATGGTTGCGATATTCATCCTTCTAACTCCATTATTTCCTTTTTCCTCTTTAGATCAAGATTATCCCTGGTTGTGAGTTTTTTTTATATTTGTGGGTGTTTTGTTTTGTTTGTTTCTTCATTAAAACTTGAGTGAAGTTTACAGAGCTGGATGGTTCTGGTCTACCATTTATACACACTGGGTTTTGTGACCCACAATGTTATTGCACTCTTCCTACTTCCTCCTGTGATTCTCATTTCCATTAATACTCTAGCCTGTCCCTTCCTGTAGCCTGAGCTTCATTCCTGGGCAAATGCTACCCTTTTATTGTGTGTGATTGATTGTTCTAAGGCATGACTAGTTCCATGGGAAAAAAGTCATGGAAAACTAGTACCTTCTAGTATCTTAATCTCAAAGGCATGTGGTTCAAATCCACCGGCTGCTCCATAGGAGAAGGATGGACAATCTCTTCCCGTGTGATTTACTGCCTCTGAAAATCCCTGAGAGTAATCTACTAGTGTTTTCCAACTCGAAGGTGCATAACTATAATAGGGCAGAAAAGCACTTTCACTTGGCCAAGGAGAGTTATCAAATCAATCTTGTTTGTTTGTTTTAGATAAGTTACAGAGTCAAACTTGTCAGTGAACAATCAGAACCTAGAAAATAGTCTATTCATTCCATTAATAATTATAGTATTTTTTCCTTCATATTTTCTTATTAATATTTTTATCATTCATGTACACTGTGTTTTACAATCTTTCATTTACATTGTATTTTGTTCATGTATTTTGTGAGGGTTTCCCCCCTTATAATCATCTTACTAATAAGTATGTTCATGAAAGAACATAAGTCAACTACTTCATTCTTCATATCTTGCTGTTTCTGTTGTTGTTATGTGGCATTAAGTTACCTGTGACTCATAGCAATCCTATGTACAGTAGCTCTGAACCCTCCCCTATCCTGATCAGTCTCTCTCTCTCTGGCACACTTCCCCCATTACCCCAGTCATTATGTCAATTCATCTCATCATGGTCTTCCTACCGTAATGCCCCCATTTTAGATAGCCAATTTCTGATTTGCCCATCCCTATCAAACCAATACTATGGAAGAACAAGCATGTTCCTTTTGCTGAAAATCCTTTATTCAACTTGAAAACTTCGAGTGTCTGTATCTGCAAGCAAAGCCCAGTCCCGAGTAAGCCATCAGGTTGTGGCAATCAACCCCAGCTCCCAGCATGGGTCATCTCTTCCTCTGCTTGGGTTCTGGTCAACTCCTCCTCAGCCATCTATGGCTGGGCTCAGCTGGACATCAGCCACAAGTTCAGGGGTCCACAATTTCTCCCTGAGCTCCAGACCTTCCAGACCTTCACTCTGCCTGGGCCCCTACATGGGCAAAGTCAACAAGCCAGGAGTCATCATGATTCCCTGCTCAAGTTAAAGTCTTCGTATTACCCTTTTCTGTGATCTGTAACTAGGAGTTGCTCACTCGCCTTTAGCCACAACATGTGAATAAAACCAACTTTCCAGAGACTATTGATACATTTTGAACAACCAGTCTAGGACATGACTACAGACCAGAACTCCTCACAGACCAGAGAGGGTACTGTAAAAACTTTTCATATCCTGCAGTCCTGTCCCTATCCTATATAAGCCCCTGGAGTCTCCAACATAGAGAGATAGATCTGAGCAGCTCTGACTCCCTGTCTCCTGTACAGTGACATAATATAAACCAGATTTTCCCACTCCAAACCCTGTCTCCTAAGACTAGATTTTCTGGGAGAAGGCAGCAAAACCCCTCTGACATCAACACTGTTGTTGTTCTGGCTGTTGGTTTTTAGGAATTTATTCTGTTGCTTTCCTTGCTTCAAACTTTGACTCCCTCCAGACAAAATCTGTCTTTAAAAAGTCTGTGGGCCAGTGTATAGAGACAGAGAGTAAAAGGAAAATTAAAGTTAGACAGTGCTGGTCAGAGCATGGAATTGCTACTCTAAATTCCAAGGTCTGCTAAGCCCTCACAGAGCAGGAGGTATGTGAACAGAGATTAGAAATTTGTGAGGGAGAAAGACAGGCTGAGGCAGGAGCGGGAAAGGCAGACAGGAGCTAAGCAAAGGGAAATTGATCCTCTGCACACACAGGCCTCTCCCACTTACTCTTTGTGCTCAGCAGGAACTGAGTTCTGAAATGTCTGTAGAGAACAGTTTCAATTGAAATGAAGCACTTACCAAGTTAGCACATTATGAACAAACAAAAGTTGTGTCAGACAAATCCCTCATCCTACTGAGATAATTTTTGACAAGTTGAGTCAAATCTCCCTGCCAAAGCAACAGAATTCTTTCTTTCACATCTCTTAAGGAGATCTTTGTCCAGTCCTTGCTTGGAGTGAAGGCAGGAAGAAGGAGAGTGCAAAGTTAGCATGCATTTCAAAAGGAACTTACCCGTTGCTCCAAACACTGTAATTACTTTCTTGCTGCCCATGGTACTGTACGAGGAAAAGGTAAGTAGAACAGTGGAAACTTTTCTCAGAGTAGCTACAGCAACTAAAATAGAGCTTCTCTTTTCCAACAGGAATTATAAAGCAGATCTGTTTCTTGGCAGTGGTGGTGTGTGGAGGCAGTTCTAATGCACAGAGACCTTATATAATTTCTCTGTTTATCATGATGTTGCTTATTGGTCCAATCATAAGGATTTAAATCTGAGCACCACACCCTCATTTCACCTCTCCCCTGTAAAAGTTTTTATGTTACCATGAGCCAGCTTACTCACTCTGACTCTGCAGTTTTCTAAATTACCATTCTCTCATTCAGTTGCTCTTCAAATTAAGTGCCAATCACTCCCTCATTCATTCATTTGCTGAGCAAATGTGTGTGGATTGTTTTCCGTATTGAACTAAAAAGAAAAAAAACTAAAGCCAAAGTCACTGCCATGTGGTTGATTCTGTTGGAGGCGAAAGCATACCACAGTAGCTGTAAAAGGCAAGAAAAGTCATTTTATTGGAACACTGTGTACAAGGAAAAGATTGGAACAAGGAAAGAGGAGAGCCTGTAGTCTGTGCAGCTCTACACGAGATGCTCAGCAACTCCAGTGTTTGGTTTTGGTGGGTTTTTTTGGCATATATCAAGGTTAGATGAGGTTTTCTCTCTCTGTGAATATGCTAAAACTGAGTGCTCACACACATTGATCATAAAATCTCCTTTGATATAAAATGACAAGCTGGTCTTATCAATAAACAGGATGTGTGTAAACATGGGAATGGAGGTAAAGCAAAAATGTGCAACATTAAGAAAGAGATGGAAACTAGATGTTACTCCAGTCCCTGTTCAACAAGGATACCAGAAAACACAGTTAATAGGTGCAAATGATAGGTCTGGAACCCTGAGTTCAAAAAGAAAAGGCCAGAGAAATGTGCAACAATGAATGAATGGAAATCCAAAACCTCTGTAAATTTTTACTGAAATTAATAATAAATTTAAATTTAAAAAAATTTTAAGTTAGAGTAAGGATGACAATGGATTCATAACTGCTCAAGCTAATAGATGGCATGGAGGAGGAATAGTGGAACTGTATCCACGTTTACAATATCCTTCATACCAAAACCATTTATGGAAAATAGGAACTGCATTGGAACATGTATCTCTGGATTGGAAATGATCATATTGTTAATATTTCTAGCCTTAAGCTTAAAAGATTATATTGTTCAAAATTATTTGTTATATATTTGTTTAAATTTTTCCCTCTTTTAACAACTGGGATCTAGAGGGAAGAGAAAAGACCAGAGAATGGCCAAAATTATTGGGGCAGCTATTGCTGCCAGTTTAGGGCCTGTGTCAGGAAAAGGAAGTCTTACTCATAAACAGTGCCACCCAAAGGTAATAAAGGAGGTCAGAATTGCTTCCACTGTGGAAAGCTGGGCCACTTCAGTAGATAGTGTCACAGACGAGAGCCACAAATAGGCAAGGGAGTAGAGAGGAAGCTACCACTCACTTGCTTTAAGTATGGATCTGAAGGACACTTGACCAAGGGCGGCCCACATCAGGTCCTTGTGGCAGACAGGACTGACAGGCCCCAGCTCCCAGCTGGAAACAAAGGAGGACGCTTCAAAGGTTTAGATCCTCCCAGAAGAGTTGTGGGTGAGCATTAACATTACTGGTAAGTATATTCGTTTTCTCCTGGACACAAGAGCCTACTATTTGGTCCTAAAAGCCTTCTGAGGTCCCAACTCTTCTCACTATTTCTTAGTTGTTGGAATTGATGGAAAACCTCATAAGCAGTTCCTTACTTCACCTCTGCCTTGCATGCGGACTTCCGAGCTGTAAAACAACCCAGTGGTAGATGGAATTTGCTCCAGGACTTAAGAACAATAAATGACATAGTTGAGTCTCTACATCTTGTGGTTCCTAACCTTTATACTTAATAGACAAAGTGCTAGTCAATAGGTCTTTTATTGTAAGAACAACCTTCCCTCTGTAACTTGATTTGTGCCACTATTAGAACCTCTACTTGGAATGTTATTGCTTTTAATTTTTGACTCATGTACTTTTAACTTGTTAAATTTGTGTCTTCTAGGCTGCAATAGTTCCATGATACATCTTCAAGGATATGAACATGTATGGCTAAGCACAATTGATAACAGTGCATCTAAATTCCAAAATCAATCTCCACAATAGTCTATGTGTTTCCTACTGCCAAAGGGGCCCTTTAGAGTAGTGAGAGAAGATCTTCACCCTGAACCCTACAGTGTCCCTTTCCAGCAGGAAGTAGCTAAGAGAATACACCATCTCCTTTTCCTTATAAATCAGGGTGAAGTCTCTCTCAGGAAGGAGGGATAGGGAATGGCAAAGGACACACCGACAAAGGAGATTAATCAGAACTGGTTTTGACAAGCACTGTGGCAATGGGACAATTAAAACAGACTTTCAAGGGGGGGGAGGAAGAGGAACGAACTGGGGAGGAGGGTAGAGAAAATAGTGCAACAATTAATGAATGGAAACCCAAAATCTCTGTAAATGTTAATTAAAATTAATAAAATTTAATTTTTAAAAAAGGCCAGAAATCTCACTACCAGAAAAGAAGCAGACAGAAAATGTATGCATACTTAAGGACCAGATTCTTGTGCCTGCCACACGAGGGCCAATGGCAGCAACAGCCACAGCAGAGAACCAGACACCTGAGATGAGGCAGAGCGGACATTGGGACTGCTGCACCATGGAATCAGAGCCAAGAGCCGTCACTCAAGTTTGTTGGAAGACTGTGGGAATGATAGGGCCGGTGGAGGATGAGCCAATATTGACAGGACTGAGAGCTTTGTGACCTGGACTAAAACCTTTTGGTTCCTCACCCCCAAAGAGAAAAGAAAGAAAGAAAAGGCCACAAACTTCAAACAGCAACTGAAAGAAGAAACTGAATTAAAGTAACCAAACAGCCAGGCCATTTGAAACAGCTGTCTGCTTGATGTGGGAACCCAGAACTGCAGAGTCCACACTGGTGCCTAGCTGATGACTGGAAAGGTTCATGTTTCTCTTTTTTTCCTTCCACGTCCTCCCAGAGATCAGAAGAATGGCTTTTCCCCACCATCCCCATCCACCAGGTAACGGGCAGTATCCTCTGGCCCTACCTGAGACCAAATCAATACCACTGAGTATATGGGGCCAAGGGCTTGCTCTATATTCAGAGAATTCTTTGCAGAGCTGGAGGACTGCAGTTAGGCCCTGAATTAGTGAGGATACCAATTAAAACTGGGGTTCTTGCCTTTCACCACGCACATTTGTTGAACATGCATCATCATGATCACATTTGGAGTGCTTCCTCCACTTATCTTGTCGGTCTCTCATTTTTTTATTGCCCATAGTTGATATGTGTGTGTATATAAAATTTGTATTTATAATTAGACAGCTGGATTTAGTTTAGATGATCCCAATTTTGTTGGCAACATCCAAAGCATCATAGTGAGGAGCAAGTTGAACAGAGGGCACCTTCTCTCCATCAGCCCTAATCAAGGTGTTGACCTTGGCCACTTCCGTGTCATAGAGCATCTTTACAGCTTGTTTGATTTGATTTTTGTTGGCCTTGACATCCACAGTGAACACAAGTGTGTTGTTAGCTTCTATCTTCTTCATGGCTGACTCAGTGGTCAGGGGAAACTTAAAAAATATGGAACACCTCATGAATTTGAGTGTCATCCCTGCACAGGGGACATGCTAATCTTCCTATATTGTTCCAGTTTTAGCACATGTGCTGCCAAAGTGAACCGCCCATAGGTTTTTTAATTTTTGCTTATCTTTTTCTCATGTGTGTCCCTGTGTGTGTGTGTGTGTGTGTGTGTGTGTGTGTTTCCCCAAAATCTTACATTTCCTCTCCTCCCTAGTTTCATTCATTTCCCTTCCTTTTTGTTCTCTCTCCATTCTTCTCCCTCCTTTCTTCCTTCTCCCTCCCTCCCTCTCGCTCTATGCTTCTTCTCCCTCCTTCTTCCTCCCCCTTTCCTTCTTCTTCCCTCTCCCTCCCTCCTTCTCATTCTCCCTCCCTCTCCTTTCCACTCTCTTCCTCCCTTTCCTTCTCTTTCTCTCTCTTCCTCCCTCCCAACCCCTCCCTCCTTCTCCTTCCCTCTCTCTCTCCCCCTTTCTCCTCTCTCTCTCCTTCTCTCTCTCTGTCTTCTACTTCCCTTTTTCTCCTTTCTCTCCCTCCCTCTGTCTCTCCTTCCCTCCCCCTCCTTTTCTTTCCCATTCTCTCCCTCCCAACTTCTTTTTCCCTCCCTTTCTCTCCCACTCCTTTCTCTCCACTCCCCACTCCCTCCCCTTTTCTCTCTCTCCCACTCTCTCCTTCTCCTTCCCTTTCTCTCCCTCCTTCCTACTCACTCTCCCCACTCCCTCCCTCTCCTGTCCCTTCTCTACCTCCCTCCACTCCCTCCCCCAAGCCCTTCCTCTCACTCCCTGCCCTTCTCTCTCTTCCTCCTACTCTTCCTTGTCCTTCTTCTCTCCTTCCCTTTCCTTCTCTTTCTATCCCTCCCTCTCCTTCTTCCTCTTCCCTCTTCTCCCCCCTTCTTCTCTCCCTCCCTCCTACTCCCTCCCACTCCTTCTTCTCTCCCTCCTTCCCCTTCTCTCTCTCCTTCCCACAACCTCCCTCTCCCTCCCCTTTTCTCCCTCTCTCTCCTTCTTCTTCTCTCCCTACCTTTCCATCTCTTTCTCTCCCTACGTCTCCCTCTCCCTCTTCCCTCTTCTCCCTCTCTATCTCCTCATCTCTCTCTCTCCATTCTTTTGATTTTTTTTTCTTTTCTATTCTGATTCTTCTTCATTTTGTACCACTCTCAATTTTGTTTTTTTCTATTTTCTTTTGTTATCCAATATTGGGTTTTGTTGTCTATTGTTTTATTTCCCTATTTCATTTTCCCGTCTGACAACAGACAGCAACAGCATCCAGCCACATATATACCTCTGGCAATTTCATCCATTGAGCAGGAGGAAAGGCAGGCTCTTTTCCATCTA